TTGTATTGACAGGAGAAAGGGAAACAGGTTTAAATTGAAAGTGGGTAGATTTAGATTGGATGCAAGGAAGAATTCTTTACTGTGAGGATGGTGAGACACTGGAACAGGTTGTTCAGAGAAGTTGTGGACACTGGAAGTACTCAAGGCCAGATTGGATGGGGCTTTGAGCAACGTGGTCTAGTGGAAGGTATCCCTGCCTAAGGCAGGGGCAGGGTGGTTGAGATGATCTTGTAAGGTCCCTTCCATTCTTAAGATTCTATGGTAACATCTCCTGACGTTCCCCAGTCCCAGTAAGAAAGTGGCTACATTGCTTCTGTAGGGAATGTTTTCCCATAGCTCATGTTCCAAGTGCCCCTTGGGTCTCCACTAGGTCCTGTCACCTGTGTTTGGCACATGTAGACAGGGGCAAGAGACAGAAAGGCTGCAACACTGAACTACAAAGGGCATCAGCTGGGGAATGGGAGGACAGAAATTAAGCCTACTGTATGAGACCAAACAGATTTCCATTCATATGTTGACCACTTATTTTAGGTGACTCTCACATGTGGGAAGTGCAAAAAGCTCAACCAGTACCTTCATTTATCAACCAAACAAGATTTCTAGAGGACTTTTCCTCTCATGGTGCTCCAAATGCATTAGAACCAAACAGTAAGTGTTCTCATTTTACAGATATGGCAGCCAAGCTACAATGAGTCACATCATTGAAGAGGGCTGCTAGTGGTTTCCACACATTTTTCCACTCTAGTTATTTATCCAAATGACCTTTTTTCTTAGAAAAACAAAGAAAAAAAAGTCTCCAAAATAAGGGGGGGAAAATCCTACATACAAACAAACCATTTTGGATTTTTGTCCAAAAAATTAATAACAGAAGATTCTTACTGATGTATAAAAAGGTTAAGTCAAGAAATAAGAACAGACACTTTTCAGTTCCACTTCTGGTCAAACACTAAAAAGCAATTTATTGCCTAGGAAGAACACACTAGAGCAACTGGTTGAAAGTTCTCTTATATTTCAATTATACATTTTACAGTCATTGAAGAGAATCTACACATTTATAATCTTTTACAGCTGGAATAACATTCAGAAGACCAGCACAAGACACATCATAGGCATTACACTTAGCAGAAACAGAAATGAGCAGTCATTACTTGGAGGGGTTAATTTACGATAACCTCAAGTGTTATTTATTTCTTATGTCAGGTCAACAAATGAGAAGCTCTGAGTGGGTGTTTTAAACTGATGTGCTGCAGGAGGTAGTAACAGAAGGGACTTAGCTGCCCTGTGTGGTGATTCATGCTGCCGCAGAGCTTTGCATTGTGGCTGTTAACATACAAGGCAAGTTCCCTGGCCCTGAAGTCAGCCTAACTTTAGGCAGTGCTATCATGAATACAATCCCAGGGATAGCAACTGGGTGTTTCAGCACTTTCTAGTGCCAAATGGGCAGTTGCCAAGACCATATCAATGATTGCACAGAAGCAGCCCTTGCCCCCCATTCCTGGAATGGCATTCCAGAATGGCAGGGTGCTCTGCAAATAAGCAAGAAAGCCAGATATTGCAAGTATTTTCTTAATCAAAGAAAAATTACATGATTCTTTATCTCTCTTGTGCATCTCTTGTCTGAGGTAGAAAGCAGCCGACTGTAGCATGGGTGACGTTATCTGGCCCTGCGTGGCATGGTCACTTACTCATTACATTATTTTAAATTAGGCAAAAACAGGTGGCTATGAAGGCACTTTATCTAAGACAGAAGATCATTCTTTGGGGGTAAGGTATATTCCTTGTTCTTTCAACAAGAATGGAAGAACAAAAGTTTAGAATAGCAGTAACTCCCATACGTGAAATATTCAACTTTTTCCATCACAAATGAGGTGACATATGAAGATCAGGTCTCTGGAATGGCTAAAAAATGAATCATGAATAAATTGCAATGTAGAAAGAATGAGGCTAGGGTATTTCCTACTGTTATTTCTTTCAGTGTGCTGTATTGGAGCTGCTCAGTTCTCTCTCTCTCTTAAAAAGTGAAAGACCCTGTGAGCTTACAGGAAAAGGGCCCACATTGTATTGTGCAATGCTGCCACAATGGGTTTCATTTATAGCCAATTAAAATCAGAAATAAGCATCTAAAGCTGAGCCTATTTCCTTCCCACTTTTCTGTCCGCTTGAAGCTGTAAAGCATGCGAAGACAGATTTCCTTTGTCGTTATTTCACAGCCCACCAACTGGTGCTTTATGAACCACAGTGGTCTGCAGACCAGTAAGCCTGGTATCATTTCTGCTTCCCTGCTGGATCACCCAATCTACTTCTGTCACAATTTAAGAAATTACAAAATTAACACAGAGATACAATCAATCTTCCCTGAAGAGTTTTGTTTAATGTTTCTATAAACATGAATAAAGTGACTGAACAGGAAATCAAGTATGATATAGATAAAACCTCTCAAAAACTCACTCAACAGTTTGTGAATTGTGTTCACAATCCACAATTAGTCACCCTAGCTCAATTATGGGGACTAGAGGAACAAATAAAGATGGAGGGCTCCTTCATAGATGTGAATTAGAAAGCACCACCTCTGCTGTTAGCATGCTCATACTCCAGCAGCTGCAGCAGCTGCTCCTGTTACAGAGAGAGTCATCTTGGTTTCCTTGCAGTGCAAGCAGCTTCTTGCTCTTGGGAAAACTTGTTGGATATGTATTGGCTTGTACACATTTGAATGTGAAGGAGTGAACTCCTACCATGCAACTATCTTGGGATCTCACCACAGGTCTCAAATAGCCTCTACTCTTTGATGGAGAAAGGGGCAGCCCTTTCCTGAAACCTGGACATTTGGCCTAGGACAGGAAAAAGTTCTCTTGCATGATGTATGAACCTATTGGAGGCACAAAGAGAGAGTCAAATTCCAAGTAACCAATTCAGCTTCCAAGGGTAGAATCTGCAGGGCCCTTGCTATCTGCTAAAAGTCAGCAGAGGGTAAAGCTAATGTAAAAACTGCTTGCTAGTTTTGGAAGAAGCAGCCCCATATAATTTTCTGTCATTTTAGTAATCATAAATGCCTTTTAACTAATAAAAATACCAGTCCATCATACAAAAAGGTAGTTCATAAAATCCTAAGCACATCATAAAATTAGAAAAAAATGATCCACAGACAGTGACTGATAGACTCAAGAGTGATCCTAGCTTTGCAAGTTCTGCAAACACAATTCCCTATATTTCAAATGTGACTCATGGGTCAATTCACATTGTTCAGTCTGGACCTAATGCAGACAAGTACTATGCTAATTACAGCCCTCCTTTCTTGAATTCAAACATTGGAGCTACTCTTTTAGCTCTTTTTAAAAAAATTGTGATAGTCATCAGCTGTGGGCAAAGAGACCCTCTGTCTTCAAAAAGTAGGCCTTCAGTGCTGAAACAAAGTCAACCAGAGAAGCTCCTTCATCCTTCTGCTTTATCTCCATAGGCAGGAATTACAAATAAGCATGTTCAGCCAAGAAACTGTAGGAAGATAAGCACCCTGGAGTAGCCCTGGGTTGACCAGCAACTGCACTAGATATCCATTTAGGACCATTTGTTCAAAGTGTGATGTTTCCCATCATTGTTCAAAGAAAAGAAAAAAAAAAAAAGGAGGTGGACAAAGTGAAAGTCTCTCCAAGTTTTCCAGGGAAAAGCATAAGCACATCAGTAATTAGGACATTAAAGAACAAACAGTAGCAGGGTCCCATGCTGCACTGGCTGGGAAATAAGCTAGGCAAGACAGTCACTGGTACTGGCCAATCTCCAGTGCCTGTGGGTTACAAAATAATTCACAAGATTCTCTAAAAGCTCCTTGCCAAACTGGAGTCTCTTAAATCCAAGAGGTGCCTCTGGCAAGACAGTTTCTCTGGAAGCAGCCAGCATCCACAGAGCTTCTCTTTCTTAGCACATTTTAAATTAAAACAATGGATTAATCTCATCAAGGAGAAATGACAAGATCTCCTTCACAACTGGTCTCAAAGCATAGAGAAATTCTGTATTCTAGTGTCAGGGTGAGAACTGAGGAAACCCTACAGTCCAGCTCCAGATCAGATGCACCACACATGCAGGGCTGGTGTGTCAGGGTAAAGATCAAGGACAGTAGTAAAAACGGTGAGTATAAGCCTTCTTCAGAGTCCTTTATCCCACCCCATGTATATAATACATGGCACGGAGAGGAAAGGGAGAATATAAAATGTATGGAAAAGAGTACATGGCTTAGGCAAGATATATTCACCAAAACCATGCTTCCTTGAGGTAAAGGAAATTGTGGTCCATGGTGTAAAGGAGAGTAGTCATACTTTGCTCAGTCCCTGTAGGGAAGGACAAATCTTTGTAATGTTAGCCCTTTAAGTTTACAAATAAATTCAACTCTGGATGAAAAGATAGAACAAGTATCTTTTAAGGCACTAAGGTCTAGGCTCAAAAGAGCAGATAATCTGACAATTTGCAGACATGCCAGTGAGACCTTATTACACCATGATCCTCCTGTTTGGGAGAGAGGCTTAGTGGGGACAAAAGGAAGCCACTGTCCCAGCTATGCTGAGCAGCCAGGCAGAAGCAACAATCATTACACATTCTGAAGCACAACAAAGGGCCTTAGAAAGATGCTGTGCCTCCCCCCACAAAGCTCCCAGGGGACTGGATCAGATGACCTCCAGAGGCCTCTTCCAATATAAATTATTCTACTGTCTTGTGACTTTACAACTCCATGAACATTGGAACCTGCACCAGCATTCTACAGATTGGGCTCATGGCAGTGCCACTGCACTTAATCAGGAGAACTGGTATCTCTCTTTAAAGACTGGAATACACTGTTTACTTTAAAAATCTGCTGTTTCTACTAGAATGTTTTCAACGAACCCAGCCATTGGGTTTGTTGGCCCAACCTTTTATTGCTGTTTATTTGCTCAATCAAAAGCAGCCATGCCAACCTAAATAGTAGAAAAACTAGGAGGAGTCCAGTGGGAGTCTTAGTTCTTCCAGTACTGACATTAAATGACTATGCTTCTTCCACTGTGGGAACTTCCTCTGTCCTGCAAGAGAAAATAAAAGATTCAGGAACAAGAAATGATGAAAGAAAATCCTACGTCTTCCTACCTGCTCTGAGCACCATAACAAAAACCATTTATACATATACACCTTCCAGCTGGAACTAGAATTGCACTTCCCTCCACAACACAGAAAGGAAAATGGTAATGTGCAACATACAGCCCCTCAAAATACTCCCACTTGGTAAAATTCTGCATATGTGTGATAAGGGACACTTAACATTTTTTGATTTAAAAGAATCTTCATTTTTTCAGGAGGAATACACTGTCTAATTTGGAGATTAGCAATTGGATATGAAGCTTTTCACACTTAAGTTGCTACCTGAAGTATAATCCCAGTGCAAACTGACAAGAAGAGCTGTGAACAGTAGCTGTTCACCGCCCACAAAACATATGTTCAATTCTCAGGAGTCCAAACAAAGGAGTCATCCTCTCCACCTCGCCTATAGAATGACACATTTTTCATCCATGCCACCCATGACCTTAAAGGTTATTTCATGTAGCTTTATGGATGTTTTCCCATATGTGCCATATTAAAAATATCATGCACATTTTAAAAGAAATCAGAAGTAAACCAGCACCAGAGATGGTTACAGAGGGATGGATGCTGCTGCCTAGTCTGGAAGTGCTTTCTCCCCAGTCAGTACCAGAACAACTATTTTAACACCAATATATACACAAGATCCCAAAAGCCTCTGGATGGGGACAGGAATATAACATGTCACCCTGTAGGGGACTTAATTTATTTCAGAATCACAGAATCGTAGCATGGCTTGGGTTGGAAGGGACCTTAAAGATCACCTAGTTCCTATTCCCCCACCCTGGGCAGGGATTCCTTCCGCTAAGCCAGGTTGCTCAGGGCCCCATCCAGCTTGGCATGGAACACTTCCAGGGATTTGACTTTTTACTTTGCCCCTGAACACACTACATGCAGGCAGTGCCTCTCAAAAGGCAGCCTCAGCAGCCTGGGAACTCAGCAGCCTCTTCATAACCATGCTGTGCAGAGCACTCCTTGCTTCTTGGCCTCTGTTTGAAAGACAACAGGCTACAGAAAGTAGAAAACATTCCCTCTCACTCCCTAAACTCCACCTTTTCCCTTAGATGGGAAAGCACAAAGGCAGCTGACTCACCGAGCGGGTCCCTGCGCTGCCTTTGTGCTTCTTGTCCTGAGCTGGGATGATTTCTAACGAGCGGTAACTGGGGGGTTTCTCTTCTGGCCACTCCCGCGACCTGCGGTTCCTCCGCCGGCGGTTTGACACTGGCACACGGACTTGCTCTTCTGAGGAGCTCCACGAGCCCCTGCGAGAAGAGGGGGGGGAGTAGCTGTGCCGCCTCTGGCCAGAGTAATTGCTCCTCCCAGCATGGTGCTCGTACTCCCGCCTTGCCCCGGGCTCCTGCCTCCCACCACGATGGTGGCTGGAGCGCTCCTTGGTCTCCTCTGGATAGAAACTGCTGCTGCCCTTGCCCCTCTCAGCTTGGCATGGGGGTGACACATCCCGTCTGGAGTGCTGGGGCCTGCCATTGTAGCCACCTGTTCTCTGCCTCTGAGGATGATCCTCTCGCTGCCTGTCCCAGGGCTCCTGACTGTAGCTGGAATGAGAATCCCCACTGGAAGGCAAGGGCCACCTCCGGTTTTCCCTTCTGTCCTCTGCAGCAGAGTCCCAAGGCCTGGGGGTGCGGGCAGCTCTTTGTGGCCGTGAGGAGTTGCTGCTCCCATGGATGGAGGAGATGTGGTCGGCAAGAGGAGGTGGCACGATGTCGGAGCCCAGCGAGGACAGCAAGCTGGGCTGCACAGCCTGCCGCTGGTGGGAGGGCGGCCGCAGCTGGGACATGTTCAGATTTTGGATTTCAGACTCCAGATAGTCCAAAACACCATTGTTAAGGGAAAGCTGGGCTTGTGGCTGCACCAGTGGAAGACTGTTCTGCAGAGATACATCTAAGGACAAAAAGACAAGAGAACACAGCAAGTCAACAGGAAACACTGAAGAGAAGGCCCTTCTGCAATCATGATCCTGGCTGAGTTGCTTCTCTTCTCCTGCTCCACCTCACTGCAAGAACTGCACAAGTCTCAGGCACCACAACCAGCACATCCAGACCACATGAGGTATGGTGCAAAGAGTAGTAACTAATAAACTGCAGCATGACCTAACATGTTTTAGGCAGTACAGAGGTAAGAAGTCCAGCATACCTGGAAATATAGTCTGTGTGTTTAGAGGAACATTTTTTTCCTACAGCACTGATACCATATTTTATTTACAAATAATCAGAGAAAGACCATAGTGTTTCCTTTTGCATTTCATTGAACTGGGAGAAATACTGTAAAAATAAGAAAATTTTTATATGTATGCACACATACATACACATACGTACAGATATAAGCAACAAATGGAGAAGAAAATTCTTCCTAGTTCATTAAAGAGTCCTTAATTTTTTGTTGCATGCAGGCTAGATCTGTTGCACAGAAGGCAGTTTGCCCTTAATCATTTGAAGACTAGACATTTGATAAGAACTCAAACAAATTGCACCTCACTTGTCCTGTCAGTTTTGGCTATAAGGAGTTGACCGTGACCAGCACAGCAGAACAAAGAGACAGTACCCTCCTCTGCCACACAAAGCAAGATAAGCTGGGTATATTTACCCTGCAGTCACTGGGGTGCAGCACAGATACACCTTAGTTAGTGTTAAACTGCTTCAACCAGCACTGAGCCCAGCAAGACACTTAAGATAACAGGCTGGTTTTATGTACCCAGACAAGTTTACCATACCTTATGCGCTGCAGATGTGGCAGAGCTGTCATTCTAGGACATGCAGTCGTGCTAGGTACATCTTTCTCTCTTTTCTTGTAGAGAGGCTAAAGCCTCAATGCTGAACTTCCCAAAGAAGATACCTGTTTCTGACCCTGATTTCCCTCTGAAATGATGCCCATGGTCTCACCTTGTTGCAGCAGGGGGTTCAGCTGGTAAGAGGAAAGTTTTGAGTTCCTGTCACCAGCTCCATAGAACATGTTGTGTGATAACCAAGGTGCAAGTGCCTGAGCCCGCTTCATGAACTGGTGCCGTTCCAGCACTGTAAAAGAAAAAGAAAGCTTACAGCACCTCTCCACAGGGCACAGCTTGCAGATCACATACCACTTTGCTTTAAAGGCTGTAGCCTTTGGATACAGGAAGTTCACAAAATTAAAATCTCTCTCCGCCCCATGATGAAGATAAAACAGAGCACAGGGAATTCCAATACAAAGTTGTACATCTTCAAAAAAGTACCTAAAATAGAAGAAAAGCTTTACTGCCCAACATTCTGATTCCAGTTCTAGCAACTGGGAAACAAATAACACTATGATTAAGTATGCAGCACATAATAAGTTAAAACTTCTACTTGCCTTGTCATTACAGAGTAGAGCTGCAGAAAGGTGGGAAACAATGTTTCATACATCAAGACATGCAACAGTTTTCTTTCTCTCGAAATTCTTTCAGCTCATCACTGGTCCTTTCCCCTTTTGGCTTTGATTTCCCACTAAATGAGACCTTTCCTTGCCACCATTATGTGGGTTCTGTCCAGATCATATTTTCCACTCTACACTTCATCATTTTCTCTGTGTTTCACAAAGAGGGCACTCAGAGGTGCACTGTCCAGCTTTTCCCTTTCTATTCTTTTGACCACTCTTCTTGTCACTTCATAATTTACCTCAGAATGACTGCTAAAATTAAAGCCTCTAAGACAGTATGGTCAAAGTGGTGAACAAACTAAATTTCCTGCTCTCAACAGCAATGTCCAGGGTGCCAAAAGAGCAAACAGTGGAAATTTCTCTCTTTCACAGAGTTTCCACCACTGCTAACTCCAGACATCTATTTGTGGGGTCAGATTCCAATTTCACTTCCTTTTTTTCATCATTTCTATCTCACCTCCTCAACATAGACAAGCAGCTAATAAACTGCTCACTTGCCTTCAGAGCATAGCTCATTGCTGCTTCTCTTGGGGGAATACCTAAAAACATCTTACAGAAACTTATTTCTTTGACCACAATTAATCAAAACTTAAATTTACAAGCAAGTAAATTCTGCAAGTCCCTGATCTTACAAAGCCTGGTTTGTCTGTTATTACTGGCTGTAGCTTTTCAGCAACAGTACCTTAAAAAATTTCTCTTTTATGGTATTCCTTGAGTTTCAGAAGTGACAAACTTTTTACTGCAGCCTCTTGTCTGGTCAGGCATGAACAAAACATTACAGGTCAAGAAACAGATAGGAACATAATTGCCTTTGAGACTTTTACCCCTCTGATCAATCTGGCTGAAGCTGGCTGATGAAATTAAAAGCTATTGGAGGGAAAGAGACTAGGGATAGACAGACAGGTTGACTGCATAAGATTTACTTCTTTAAGAAACCAGGCTACAGCTAAGCTCCAATTAATTCTGTCCCCTGGGTTCACTACAGTAGGCAGCATTTAGACTGCACAATCTTTGGGACTGAGCCCTCCACTTTAGGTAGCACTCCAGTTATTAAACATGTCCTCCTTCAGCTGTTTAACTGGATTTATCCAGAGCACCACTTGCAGCAAAAGGACTGACCATGCCCCTCAACACATCCTTCCTTTTCTCCCCAGTTTTTCCAGCTCCACTTAATTCTCCACTGCAAACTCCCTCACTCTCCCCAGTCTGGCTTCAACCAGAGGGAACTACAAAGCTGGAAGGTTCAGGAGTTTTAATCCTAACAATCTGGTATCCTCAAAGTTGTGTGGTCTGAGGTAGGAGTTTCCAAGAACTTTATGTCAAACTTGATTCTTTTCTTTTTTTTTTTCCCCAAGGGATATCCTTCCAGTTTACATTTCAAATTTAGAGGACGAGAGAAAGAATACAAAGAAGTGGGATAAACAGAAGGAGAAGGCCTTATCTCTTCCTCTCCTATTCTTCTAATGCCCTAGAGCCTGCTAAGCGTGTGTTCTGGGTTTTGACCTTGGTCTTTGCCTGAGGAGTAAGAGACCCAGCACCTGTGGGCACACCTGCTTAGCATACTCCCTCTGAAGGTAGGAAGGCTGTCACTAGGACCAGTCATCCTCCCCCTGTCATTTCCTGATTTGTCCCTACAGCTGAAGAAATCCAGAATTAGCCCTGGTTTTCCTTCACTATCATCAGCCCTTCTTCCTTCCCCAGATACTTTGCCTTACAATTTGAATCCAATATATACTCTGATTTCCCATCTTCAAAACAGAAGTCACAGATCTTTTTGAAGTGAACGTATTTTTCTGAGGAAGGTCAGATTCACCCTAATTCCAAAACTGCTACCCTGCTTTGCCAGAAAGTTGTGTTGCTCCCTCCATTTACTCTGTTGGAAAAATCTGTTCTCCACCTTTGACAGAGTTTAACAGCGGCTGGGCCAAGTATAAAAATAAAATATTTTGCAACTTAGTGATACCCAGGTGCAAGTATATCCTATTTTCCCCTGATTCATTACTGGAAGAAGTCCACAGCAGAAAAGGAACAAATAGGAACAGAAGGAGGTCGTACGTGTATTTACTCTGATGGGCTTTTCTCAGAGTTTTCCACAGGGAATGTAATTGGCTTGCTCCTGGGCATTTCTAATACTTCTGTACATCAATCCTGAATTACTCAAACAATGCACTCCTTTTATTGCTCATTTCAAACCCACGCTCGTTAATGGTGTGATTCACAGCACCCAGGATTATCCTGTGCCTGTCTCACTGGCACCTGTGACTGTTCAGCAGATCCACGCTGTCCTCTAGTGGCCAACGACAGGGAAGGAAGCACCCATGCTCACCCTGTGATCCTACACAGGTGAGGATTTCTGCCTTCTCTTCAGCTGTGTGGAATGTTATTCCTCAGCACTGTTTTTAAGATGTCCCCTGAATCTATCTTCTTGTGGTTTTTTAAGGCCTCCAGTTCATTTCTTGGAGTGCAAAAAAGTAAGTAAGAGGCAGGAAGAAGTAAAGAGAAGCAGTTCAGCAGTATTAGCAGAGAGGAGCAGGCACATGGATCCTTTGCCAAGTGGATTCAGAGGGCAGGCAGCTTGGATGGAAATCACAGACACAGAATCCAGCATCCAGTCAAGGAGGCTGGACTTCTCTGTCCCTTCTCTCATGAACACGGAGAGGTTTAGAAAACCCTGCAAGAATTCCTCCTCTTTAATAGGAGGAAATAACAGCAGCAGTCTGGAGTGAGCTATAATCTGCAGCACAGAAAAACAGAAAAGAGCTCATGCAAACTCTGAATCTCTTTTTTGCTGAGAACTAGGAAGTCTGGAGGTGTGAGTCTCATCTCCACCACCTCTCTTCCCCTTCACAGAAATTGATTTTTCTGCCAGATTTCCACAGCCATCTCAACGCTACACATTTTACATGACAACTTGTAAGGCCTCCAATGTTAGTTTCAGTTTTACCAACAGAGGGGATATTCTGCTCACTCTTTGTAAGGACTAAGCAAATTAAGCTTATATCTAAAACTCTCACAGTTTACTAACACCCAAGCTAAAATAGCTGTTTTGAGGGTAAAGGTAAATATGAATCAGAGATCCTTGTTCATAAATCCTCTCCTTGTAGCATCTGGGAAAGAACCTGGGGATTTCAATGATAAATAAACATTTGTTGCATTTTGTTACTGTCAGACTGTATAAGCTTCAGGGAGACTAGTCTACTAGTTGCTAACCAAGTTTCAGTTACAGGAATGCAGAGATTATATGAAATTAACAGCCAAAATTCAATCTATAGCCTTACTAAAAGAACAGAGTCTGGCTGCAGAAACTTTATTACTGATAAAAGCAAAGACAACAAAATTTCTTTTGACCCTCAAAACTTCAGAATGCACTTGCAAGGCTGACCAGCAAGAGAAACCATCTTTCTCCACCTTCTTCTCACTTCCTTCTCCAAAGAAAACCAAACCAAACCTTTTTCTAGTAGAAGGAACAGCTCTGAAGAAAACATACAGATAAAAAAATTTCCAATTTTAATGTAATTCTTCTCAGAGCAACATACTTGAAAGAAAGACTAGATTGGAGACTAGTACCAAGGTATTTTCTTGCCTTTCTCACATGCACAGGCATATGAACCACAAGACAGGAAAGAAAGTCCTGAACTACTCAGGCAAGGGAACTGATTGTGCTCTGGACGGTGAGAGAAGCTGGTAACAGGGTGTGAGCAGGGAGAAACTTCTGATAGTTGGATACAGAGGAGCAAGATAGATTCCATCTATCTGAGATCCCCTCCTTGAATTTCAGATTAGCTGGTCTTGGAGGTCACATTAGCCAAAGAAATGTCTCAGTTTATACGGATGCTAAACAAAAGAAAGGAAGTGGAGCTCAGCAAGCTCCCAGCCAAGCTCTTATCTTGACAGAAGCTATAAATGGATGCATATTTGCTTGAACCTCACCTTTCTGATTACAGCAGCACCGTGTTGGACAGCAGCCACACTGGATGTGGCAGCAGCAATACTGGGGGCAGCATTGGCACCAGCATATACCGATCAGCAGAAGGAGGAGGAGACCACCGAGAATGATGAGGAGTACTGTGAGCCAGTCTGTAGGAAAAAAGAGAGAGAAAAAGGATTGATCCTGATGCATCTGTGGAGCAGTGGCCGGTGAAAAGTGAAACGCCCAGGCTAGATAAGTGTCCAGCCAACCTCCAGCCAGTCAGGCACTTCCCCAACCCGGAGTCAGGGCGTTGTGCCTAAGGCGATGTCAAGCCTTGCGGACGTGTGGCCGCAGTAGAGAGCTCCGAAGTCGCAGGATGAAATGAAGAGGCGACTCTCAGTTTCTTCGGGGGGGGGGGTGGTTTTATTGGTAGGGAAACGTGCAGGTTCAGGTAGAAGAAGCTGAGAGCCCCGAGGCAGGGAAAGCCTCGGGTTTTACAGAGGGTGGGAGGGGTGAAAGATAGCAAATCAGAGAGGGATACATTAAGGATTGGCATGATCGGAGAACCCATCAAACACAGTTGCGGGAGGGACCCTGGCCCCTAACCCAATCACTCGACACCCTGGCCCGAACTCTCTAGAAAAAGAGGCAGGGGTGTCGAGTGACAGGCAGGCTGCCAGGGGTGGGGAACAAGAAAGATACATTTGGTAACCAAGACAACTGGGGAGGGGTTTGGGGATTGACACAAACTGGTAACAAGGCAGGACTTTCTGAGAGAACAATGGAGGGAAAACTGAACAAGCATAAAACACACCACAACACATCTGGCCATGGTAGCTTACTGAGCACCTCTCCACTGCTGGAGATGTCTTGGGGTGGAGGAGAACAGGAGGAGATATCTTGGTAACAAAGCACAGGCACTTACGGAGAACAATCAGCTTAACTTCTTTGTCCGCATCACCTGAGGTATCTCCTTGTGCTTCCACACTGCAGTAGTACATGCCATGGTCCCACCACATGACCTCACTGATGACAAGGTCTGCTCCTGTGGGAGAGGGATCAAGAGGTCAGTGGGCTCTTTGTGACTGACAGACACTACTTTCAGGCTCCGCCTAAAAAGAGCCCTCTGCATGCCGGAGACAGAGGGTACTGCATCTCCCCTCTTCCCAAGCATAGCCATCACCTTCAAACTATCTCATTTCAGTCCACTGAGAACACCTACAAACAGCATTCACTGCCAGTCCATGTTTTCTGTGTTGCTGGAAGCCAACTGGTCTTGGAACACAGATCACTGTCCCTCTTAGGTCAGCAATCCCAATGGCTCTTCTGGTGGAGCAATACCTAGTGCTCCATGGACAGCAGGGAGCATATAACACACCTGGACAATTATGCAGTACTTGGAAGAATGAACTGTGTTCTAGCCTCTGAGCTCCTCAGCTGTTGTGCTCTTCAGCAAAATGCTCTCTGGCATCCTCAGCTCAGCCTTAGGCTGTAGTGCCTCCAAACACCCTCAGGCCAGCTGGGGACAGGGCCCTTCCCTGCTCTTATTCCACTACCATGTGCAGTATATAAGCTACAGATTACATTAGCCATGTATATGCTTCTCTTCACTTAGCAGACCCAGATATTGGATAATTCCTGAGTTCACTGCCTGCCTGGGAGGTCACTCACGGTTCTGAATGGTGATCTTTCGCTGCTGGTAGTCGATGCCCAGCACAGGGTCCTTCTGCCCATATTTCTGGATGACAATGCGCACCTTCCGCTGGCTGTCATTGCAGTCGTTTGAGGGGTCCTGGCCAAGGGCTAAACCAGCCTGGTATGCTACAAACACACATCATCAGAGATGGCAAAAGTTATTTCAAAAGAGCAATTTATATCCTCTTGTGAGCAGTAGAGAAATTCTTGAGTACATTGTGTGCAATTGCTTTAGTTTAGCAAAACAAACTATGGCTTCAAACCAGAAAGCTGCTTTGGAGTACTCAAAAACAAACAGAGGTAGAGCCACAGGAACGGCAGAGATTTTGAGAATGCAGGAGCTGCAGAGGAGATGCCTCCTGTACTCACAACTGAAAGAACAACTGTAGAAAGAAGCTAATGGTGGTAGCCTGGAAGGCAGCTCCCAGTATGAAGCTGAAAAGAAAAAGTCATAAAACACCCAGGAGTACTAGAACTAAAACAAAAGGGTGTTTATCTATCAAGCAAGATCTCCAGACATACATGAACTGCTCTATGGATTGTCTCCCTTTCCCTCCTGTATCCCATTACATGTTGTGGAGCTCATGAAGACAGAAAACAATCCATCACCTGATTCCAGCTAAGGATTAAATGTAAAGATGCACAAGAGAATTAATGGAGGACTAGAGGCAATTTCTATACAATACTCTTCTGACAGACTCACATCATAAACCAACATTGAATTTCCAAGAATTTAGGATCTGAGATTTGGGGAAACGGCTGATTTGGTCAGCATTTTCTGTAAACAGTTCATAGTGAAGAGAGAGATGAGGGTAAAGCTTGTCAAAGGCTCTTTCACTGCTATACCTAAAATGGAGTATGAAGTCCCTTTTGGGGACTATTAGCTTGAGCCTGGGCCTAAAGCACTCACATTCTTCTGGGATCAGCTGAGCCAGGGACCCACCTGCTTGGGAACTAGGCTGTAGAGCACTTGGTAACATGCCTACCCAACCCATCCAGACTGCATAAAGAAGAGTTTGGGCACAGTACCCACTGTGAGCTCAGTCCTAAGTGTACGGTTATGCTATGGCTGGCTATCTAAACATTCTGCAGGGTTTACAAACAATAGAACAGAGCAGAATAGTTCAGTTGGCAGGCATGTACAAAGGTTATCTAGTCCAACTGTCTGATCACTTTAGGATTGACTAAAATGTAAAGTAGTATACTACTGATGTAGTATTGAGCCATTCCCACACATCCTGTCACTGGATACTAGGGAGAGGAGAGCAGCACCTCCCTGTTCACTTCCTCTTCTCAAGGAGCTGTAGACAGCAATGAGGTCACCCCTCAGCCTCCTTTTTCCTGAACTAGACAAGCCCAAAGTTCTTAGCTGCTCCTCACAAGATGTGTCTTCCAGATATTTTATCAGCTTTGTTCCCCTCCTCTGGATGCATTAAGTACCTTAATATCCTTAAATCCTGGGACCCAGAATCGCATACAATACTCCAACTGAGGCCACACCAACAATAAATGTCGCTGTCGAGGCGGTCACGACACAAAGCAGAGACCATAAGCAGTCACAGTTGGCAATTCTTTATTATTGAACATGGCTGACTTTTATACACTTTCTAATTGTTTATGCTTCTTCTGCTTTAACTATTAGCTACAATAAGTCAACATAATACTATTAGTGAAAAGTTATAGTGTCTTCAACTAACTCTCTAAAAATACTTCGTCTAGCTGCGAAGTTCTCTTATCTTTCTTCTCTCAGTCTCTTTGGTTACAGCTTTAGAGAGAGCTCTTTATCAGCTTCTTCTTACTTCTCAGCTTCTTCTCGCTCCTTTAACTAACAAGCCTGCTGTTAGCCTCTTCCACAAATAAACATAGAGGGATCATCACCATTTTGGACCAAGTAGTTATCCTGGGATGCAGTTTGTGTACCATATTAAACCCCTTGAATTAAGCTGCCTGCACCAGAACATCTGCACATGAAGTGCTCCCACCACTACTAAATGCTATTACTTAGAAGTCTTCATGCCCTTCAAAATGCATGTGTTTCTTCTATTTCCTAAAATCAGTAACATCTGGTCACAGGTATCCAGCTCCAACCACAGGACCCCCGTGGAATCCTAAAGCCCACCTGTTGCAGGCCCTTGCATTCGTACATGCTGAAGCCTAAGGCTGGGCTTCCAAGATCGACTTGCGTCAACCACAGCTGAACTGTCCTGTACTCTGACTTGATGACAAGGAGGACAAAAGAGCTGCTTTGGTTGGGATTTCTGTGATCTTATAAGGCCTTGACATTTCAAAGGAAATCACAGACATGACCTGCATTTCCTTGGAAATGTGAGTCTCACCTCCAGTGAGTCTACCTTCCCCTTTCTTCCCACTTGAAGGGGGATTCCTCAGCAGATGAGCCTAACACTTACAGGCTGAGTAGTAGTCAAAGATGGGGTCCTTGCAGAAGGATTTGAAGCGCCAGGTCACCACCACATCTTGCAGTTGTGCCGAGGTGGTGTAGTCACACTTGAGGATGACAGTGGCAAATAAGGTGGTGTAACGCTCAACATCCTGCACTGTCACCAGGAGCGAGAGGCAACCTGCAAACAAGAACACAGGAGGCTGTCAGCTCACAAACTCCTCAGGCCTCCCATCACAGTATCTGCACCAGAGCAATGACCCAAGTACATCTCCTTTGGCCCCATCCAGGACCTGCACCTACCAACCTCCCAGTGCCTCTGGTGAAGTCATCCAGGGTTACAAACCCTGGTTAGAACAGGAGCCTCATCTTCCCCTGACAGAAGAAAGCTTCATTGGCCCTCTTTACGGACTGAATTATTTTCTCCAAAGCACGAGTAGCCATTGTGCAGCACATCACTCTGTGTTCTCCTTCTGCATAGGGAAAACTGTCCCAGAAGCACATGGGATGGGACTTCCTTGGCTTTTAATCCTAATCAGAAAAGTTCTGCAGCGCCTTATGTTTGTATAGACACCAAATGAATTTTATCAAGGTCTTGCTCAGACACTCATCAAATGTTATCTAATGGTGACCAGGATTAAGACAATACAACTTTCAGACTGTAGGACTGCAGTTAATTGTTTATCACCACTTCAGAACAGTACACATCAATTACTCCCTTTTTTCCTTTTAAATAAAGCTATCATTATGTATTTGTTACATATTCATTCCAACAACCTCCACAGCACTTTCCATCCCAGCAGCTGAACATACTCAAGGAGGATTTGCAAAGTTTCTCATAAGCTATGCTGTAGTTCAGCTATACTCCAGAAACGTCTCTATCTAATTTAAACTTTGATAGTACAGTAAGTTGTGCTTGTCATTAACAATAGCAAAGTTATCACCAGTTGCCTTTGATAAGGGAATACAAACAGTTCAGGGCAAGTGTGGGATGCCCTGTTTGGAATACATGCCAGAGAACCAGGCAGGGACTGCCGTGCTGTACTAGTTTCTTCTTAATTGTGGAGCACGACAGCAAGAAAAGGCAGGAAGGAAAGTGAGATGCTTGAAGGTACCAACTGTACAGGTCTCCATGAACCAACACTTGATTTTTATCATATATTCAAAGATTTTCGCTCTAGTCCATGTTTTCAGGATGAGAGCAAGAGAACAAACTGCTACTGCTATGTAGTAACATCTGGAACACAACTGCAAATATCACTCTTTGTCAAGCATCTTTCAGTGTCCTTTTAGGCTGCCATCTCCACTCTACATTCCAGGCAAATATGAGCTCACACAGTTTCCACACTGTGGAAAAGATGCTGCAGAGGTGCATGCTGCCTCAGCAAGTCATTCTGCAGTAGGGTATTGTCAATGCCACACTTGCTCAGTTTCTGGTTTGAAATGGGACTCTTTGTCAGCCAACTGAAAGCACAAGCAGAGCAAACTCATTTGCCTGAAGAATACCACACAAACATGGGCAAAGCCAGGGAAACCCCTGAATCCAAGGCTTTTCTGAAAAATGAGATATACACACACATGCACTTAAACACAGAGTAGGAGATGTACAAACCTCTAGATAAACCAAGTTTTTACAATGCTGTAGCGCTGCAAGGTCCAGACTGCTGATAGGTAGTTACAGTTGCTCTTATTCAAAAGCACTGTAGTTCCACTCATCTTGTTTCAGCTTTCACTGTGAAATAGCTGACTTTGGGGTGTTAATGAAGAAAATCACAAGAAACCAATTCAAACTCTCAAGATTGGCAAAACCATGATTTGAGTGTCAATTAAATGAAACCCATATGAATTCTGACTTGTCAAGGCTCATGGGAACAAAACGCTTTCCATGGATTTTCTACAACAGCATCTCTCCGGTAAGAATAAAACATTCAAAACCAGTGTGTGCTTTTTACTAACAAAACCCACATCTCTTTATGGAAGGGATGCTTTCTCATTACCTCTGTTCTGCAAAACAGCCAGAATTGAAGGGTAAGTTCCTTATTTTCTAAAGAGGCTGAAAATCTACTGTTCCTCTCCAGATGTTGCTGCATGTTCAATGTTTCTCATTAACCTCCTCCAAGAAAACAAAAAAGTTGTGAAATTAAGGCTGGGTCCTAAATGTGGACTGCATTACTCCACTGCAGGACACTATCTTTCTTATCCTAGTTGGAAAGAATAAATATGGACACCACCAATCTAGTAAGTTTTGGCTACATCTATGGCTTTGCAATGAAGACACGAAGCTCTGGAGCCAGTGTAGCCAAGTTTTGGCTAGAGCATCTCCCAGGAACACAGCTGTCAAGCAAGACAATAAACAAGCATACCCTCCATACTTTTTTGCCTCCTTCAGTGGTCCTCCGTGAAAAACTGAACTTTAAAGCCGTACCATCAGCCAAGACCCGGGCATCCAAGAAGCCAAATGACCACTTTATTTCCAAGGGTAGGTTAGAAGCTGTCAGGCAACCCGCAAAGCTTGGCAGAGTGAACACTGCTGGCTGAAGGCTGTCCGTGGGCAGCGAGGTGAGCTCCGGCAGGTGCCCAGCAGGTGCACCAGCACTGCAGCTACCCCAGAAATCCCCAAGAGGTCGAGGCTCCTGAGCCAGTAGCAAAAGCTCGGCTGGGCGTTTGCGAGAGGCCAAAGGGGATCCCCGCATGTTCGAGCCCAGCGCCAAGGTCCCAGCCGAGCTGGCCGCACGCGACCGATACTGGAGGCTGCCAGGAAGCAGGAGGCCACTTCCTCCTAGGAGAGAGGTCAGCCGCACCTTTGGGGAGCGAAACTTGTCTCCGCACGGCTTCGCGCCGAGCTCGGGAGAGCCCCGCGGGCGGGAAAGGGGAACCGCGGGGGGAGAGCGTCAGGCCGGACCGGGCCGCCCCTTCCCCTCACCGCGGGGCCGCCGCCGCTCCCTCGACCCCGCGCCACCTTAACCCCGGGCGAAACCCGAGGGCGCCTCCCGAGTCCCGGCCCCGGCGCCACGGGGGTGTCCCGGGGCAGGGCGGCCGCAGTTCCGGAGGGGGCCGTGAGCCCCGGGCCGCACTCACCGGCCGGCAGCCAGGCCAGCAGCAGCGCCCACCGGCAGCGCCCGCGCGGGGCCATGGCGCGCTCTCCTCCTCCTCCTCCTCCTCCTCCTTCTCCTCCGCCTGGGGACGTCGCACCCACTGTCCCTCCCCTTCCGTGGCACCTGTCCCTGGGCCGGGCGCTGCCGCCGGCTGCAGTCCCCTCCCTCTGTACCTGCACCCTCCGCCGGAACGCCAGACAAAATACCAGTCGGCAGTTTCAAGAACTGCTTTTAATATACATATACATATACATATACATATACATATACATATACATATACATATACATATACATATACATATACATATACATATACATATACATATATTCCAAAACATGCATTTATTGTATCAAAATTAAAATGTATATATATATATATATATATATATATATCTCCTGAACACACAGGTGTATGGGAAGTTAGCCGAGCTGCGCTGCCCGGGGCAGCGCGCCCCAAGCGAAGGGCGCACGGGAGCGCATGCTAAAGACTGCGGGCGGGAAGAACGTCTGGGGAATTCACGGAATCACAGAATCGGTTCGGTTGGAAAAGTTGGAAAACACCTCCGAGATCCACCTGTCCAGCCTGTGACCAAACACCGCAATGTCAACTAGATCAGGGCACTGAGTGCTTCGTCCAGTCTTTCCTTAAACACCTCTGGGGGCAGTGACCCCATCGCCTCTCTAGGCAGCCCATTCCAATATCTAATCATCCCTTTTGTGAAGAAATTCTTCCTAATGTCCAACCTAAACCTTCTCTGGCGCAGCTCAAGACTGTCTCCTCTAGATCTGTCGCTAATTTAATTTTCCCGCTGAGTTCTGAAAGGACCGCAACCGTGGCCAAAGCAGAGGTTACTTTAAAGAAAAAACCCGAACAACCCAAAGTAAAACAACCACCAGCCCCTCCAATTGGCCCGGTAGCGCCGCCGACCCGCCCGCTGGCTCCGCTCCCGGGGCGCTGCGCCGCCGCCGCCGTTGCCTGGAGACGGGAGCGCGGCCGCTCCGGGCCCAGGTACCGGGGCCGTGGGGAGGCCGCGGCCGCTCCGGGCCCAGGTACCGGGGCTGTGGGGAGGTCGCGGCCGCTCTGGGCACAGCCGCCCCCGGCGGGCCCGCGGGTGCCGTGGGTTGTTCCCGGTAGCCCCGCTCCTCAGGGCCCCGCAGCCGCGGCGCCCCCCGGGGCCCCTCTGTGCCCGCACCCTCCCCAGGGCCCCACTGAGGCACCCTCCCCTGCCCGCCCCTTGGAGCGCCAGGCGTCCCTTGCCTGCCCTCTGCTATCCCCGCTAAACAGGAATGAATATCCCACAACAGGGATAGACCGTCCCGTAGTTCATCTGAAATGTGGGACTCGTTGGGTTTTCTTCGCCGTCTGTGAGGCAGTTAATTTTATTGCCTGTTGCATTTGTGGTAATCTTCTCATACTCATTTTTATGATTTTTTTTTTTTACACTGTAAGTTAATCAGTAACTAGTGATGTCACCTGCTGTTATTTCTGCTTAGTAGAAACCTGGTAACCTTTATTCACAGGACAGCTTTAATAGACTTGGAACTTTTGCTTGCATGTGTCAGAGCTAGGATACGTGGATCATACAGAGGGCTAATTTAGGTGTAAGATTGTAAATTAGAGTTAGATTTATTTCTCCTATGAAATAGGAAAATACTTTGCATGTGTGCAACATAGTAATAGTGAGGAGAACAATCGCAGGGCTCCAGTCCATCTCTTTTTTCTTTCTGATGTGGAAGAAAGGAGACAATGGGGCTATGATAAAGCTAATGTGTCTAAATCCTGCTTTGTAGCTTTATCCTTGCTGTCTTGGTCTCTGACTAGTAAATAATTTATATACTTAACTCTGTGAGAATTGATACTTTTTGTTATTCTCCTTGCTCTCAAGTCTTCACGATTTTGTAAGAGCAGCCATATTCTCTAATACTTTTTTTTTTCCATGGGATCTTGGGTTGATTACCTAAACTGACTTTTATTACTAATATTCTAGTGCTGATGGATAATGATATACAGACAGCACTAGTTTCTATGCCTGATTTACACTTGGATATTTTTCTTTCTGTATGTAAACACTATAAGACTTTAATGTTCTTTTTTTTTTTAAAATGAAATTAAGTTTTACAAGACTCTACTGTTTGCCCATTTTGCACTCATCAGCAGCCCAGTAAATTGCCGATGTACTCTGATGTGGTCTGGATGCAAAAAAGAGTGCTGAGAGAGATGTTTGATGGTCTGCTGTTTTTCAAAAACAAATGAAATATTCAAAAAAGAGTGCTGAGGAGACCATGGTTGAAAGTGAGTTAAAAAAACAGGGCTTGGCAGATGGGAAGAAACCTGACACATCCAAAGCAGAGCTAGACTTGAAGAAGATGTCTTACCCTAGAAGAGATGATCAGTATGGCGTTCCCTGTGGCAGACACCCCTCATGAAACCCAAAAGCTGCAGCTGTGTTTTAGACCAGTGCTACCCCCAGGTCAGGAAGAGCAGAGAGTGGAGCCTGGAAGGCTCACAGTGCAGTGCTAGGAGGAGTCAGGATTGGCAGTCCTGGGACAAACTGAGTTCCTTCATGTGGAATGAAAACAACTAAAGAAATAACAATCTCTGCTGAAAGAAAGACCAAGTGTCTTTTCATTTTTATCTTTTTTTTTTTTTTAATCCAAAGCCCACCAGCGGGTAAAGCTTTTCTTCAAAAAAATTAACACATTTTGAAAGGAACCAAAAAAATAAAATCCTGCAGAAGTAGCACAATGTAGAGATAATTTTTTAATCTCTTGCTTATTGCTGGTACTAATAGCATTGCAGTTTTATTCTGCAGTAATAGTTCCCTATTTCTACATAAACTGAATTAGTGGTCAGAACTGATGATCACTCTTCTGTGGATGTAAAAGCTGATAGGGGATGTCATTTAAACACACTGAAACAGTTCATGATGGGGAGAGACACCTTAAAATAACTGTTAGATATGTTCTGTTTTCTAAAGTAAAACTGTAGGCTACATTTTGATAATTATTTATTTTCTTGTATTTTATGCAGTTGAAGTGTCAGTCACAAGGTTTATGATGGCAAGAACTGCATTTATGAGGTCTACACATTTAAACACCTTTTTTTCTGGAAAGAAGAAAAGTGTAGGATGACAAAATAGAAAGAAAGTGGTGTGATCTCACTGAATTTGTTTATGTGTTAGCAAATAAAAACCCATTTGATTTAATTATGCTGTATTTTGGATAAATGAGACAATTATCTGAGATGAGAAATCCAAATTTACTGAGAATTTTTGAGAGGCTTCCATATATAAAGATTCTGTGTGGCAGCAAAATTGACAAAAAACCATTTTAACTTTGAAATAACTGAAGTTATATGCCTGAATGAACACATTTCTCCATTCTGTGGCTTTTGAGAACATAGCTAAGAAAAAGGCAATTTGAAAGAAAATGGAACTTTGCTGAAATTCCCAGCTTGTAGCACTTCCACTGAAACAAGGATAACCTGAATTCAGTCCTTACTTGGAATAAGTTCCTGAGTTCTTGGAAATGATGAAACTGACGTGGATCTGGTACAGTATTTCAAGTCAGTGTCTTGATTTACCAGGACTAGGAGGAAAATGTACTACCCTGGTCTGGCATTGGCAGAAAAATTATGATTGCTGATTTTTTTTTCCTCACTAGACTTATCACATCAGTTCTACTTGTCATTATCTCAGTTTTCAGTATCAAAAGGTTTAAATCTTTCTGATTTAGGAAAGCTGTTGTAAAAAAAACCTGCCAATTCCCCCCAGAAAAATAAAATCAACATTCAGAGAAATGTATGCCTTTGTCATGGTGAGCCTGCACAAGAGTTTTCAGGATCAGCAAACTCATGAAAGCCAGAATCTGCAGCCAAAGTAGACATGTTATCCCCTTGAGCCTCTTCTGAGTTCTTAAATTCAGAATTTGCTTTGGTGCTTGAATGCCATCACAAAAATGTGCACAGTGGACATTGCAGTATCTTTCTTTAACTAGAACCCAGATATCAATGAAAGCGGAAATGTTCATATCCCCTTTCAGCCTAAAGCATTTTCCAGATAGGAATTAATTTATAATGAAAACTATGATAATCTTAATTTTTAGAAGAGAAATGATTGCTAATTAGTTAGAATAATTTGAAATTTTATAGCTCTTTTCTCTGTGGATATCAAAACACTTTGCTAAGATGTGTAAGTATTATTATCTAATTTTTCACAGGAGATAACTGAGACAGCCAGAGGTGAAATGGCTGATACAAATTGTACACATCATTATTGGGTTTGGAATTAGAATTCAGGTCTCTGAACACTCCACTATCTATTTATGCAAATAGTCTATAACTATTTCTTCAACTTCAGTGATATCAGTTGTGTTACCCCATTAAAAACTCATGAATTTCATTTAAATATATTGAGATACATTGCAATTGTTTTCATTTGTTTTCTAAATGTAAAACTTTCTGCTTGTCTATTTTCAAGTTTTTCTCACCACACCAAAAGGATAAAAGCTCATTCGTAATTCTTATGTGAAATTATGCAGGAAAGTCAGATTGTGGAAGACACTCAGGACCTTTGGATGAAGATTGTCTACAGAACAACAAGAATGACATATCTGAAATATTTCTTTGTCCTCTTTGTCCTTCTTGTGGGTGGCATTTTGTTAAGAGACTTTGCCTTTCCTGAAATATTGGAAAAGCCTGAAATTCCTCAAAATATTTTTTCCAAATGGATTCTGACCAAGAGGTGGAAACAGGAAATGCATTTTTAGGGACTTCTTAGTGGTATCAAAGTCATGATTACAGATGAAGAGGGATTTGCTTGCATCCTGCCCATATTTCTTATTCTGATTTTTCATGTTTCTTTATATACAACTTTTGAATTTTCTGATTTTGGATAGTTTTTTTCATGCTGTAATATTAATGCAAAGTTGCTCCAATGTGCATTTTGAGGCATTTCATTTGAAAGTGGAGAACACATATGAAATCAAAAGGCAGAATAAATTTTGACCATTTTTTTGTAAAAATGGTCAATGTGTGT